TAACCATATAATTTTAAGAATTACAATGACATTCAATCCATTTAAAATGATCCATACTTTGATCTTCTAGTAAGACAAGTAACGAACACGACGTCGTTTTGACGTCATGTCGTCTTAAACTGAATAGAAATGGTGGGAAGTTGTGGCAGTAGCTGGTCTCCGTTCTCAGGTGTTTAACACCTTGTAGCAGAGTAACTATATAATTTTACAACTTGCAATGACATTCAATTCCTTTAGAAGGATCCATACTTTGATATTCTAATAAGAAAAGTAACGCACACGACGTCGTTTTGACGTCATGTTGTCTAAAACTAAAGAAAATGGCGGGAAGTTGTAACGTAACTCGACTCTACCTGTAGGTGTTTAACACCTTGCAGCAGAGTAACCATATAATTTTAGAACTTGCAATGACTTTCAATCCCTTTACAATGATCCATACTTTGATATTCTAGTAAGAAAAGTAACGCACACGACGTCGTTTTGACGTCATGTCGTCTAAAACTAAAGAAAATGGCGGGAAGTTGTACCGTGACTCGTCTCCACCTGTAGGTGTTTGACACCTTGTGGCAGAGTACCCATATAGTTTTACAAGTTGCGATGACTTTCAATCCCTTTATAATGATCCATACTTTGATATTCTTGTAAGAATAGTAACGCACACGACGTCGTTTTGACGTCACGTCGTCTTAAATTAAAGAAAAATGGCGGGAAGTTCTAACGTAACTCGTCTTCGCCTGTAGGTGCTTAACACCTTGTAGCAGAGTACCCATATAATTTTACTTCTTGCGATGATTTTCAATCCCTTTACAATGATCCATACTTTGATATTCTATTCAGAAAAGTAACGCACACGACGTCGTTTTGACGTCATGTCGTCTAAAACTATAGAAATTGGCGGGAAGTTGTAACGTAACTTGTCTCCGCCTGTAGGTGTTTAACACCTTGTAGCAGAGTAACCATATAATTTTACAACTTGCGATGATTTTCAATCCCTTTACAATGATCCATACTTTGATATTCTAGTAAGACATAGTAACGCACACGACGTCGTTTTGACGTCATGTCGTCTAAAACTATAGAAAATGGCGGGAAGTTTTAACGTAACATGTCTCCACCTGTAGGTGTTAAACACCTTATAGCAGAGTAACCATATAATTTTAGAACTTGCAATGACTTTCAATCCCTTTACAATGATCCATACATTCTGTATCTGTATAGCCGGTATAACCACCTTTCGGCGTAACACACCAGCTTCGCAGGCACGCGGCGCGGCGGCAGCTGGCTATATTATACCGATCGACGTGTTACACCTAACCCTTGAACTTCTAGCTCTAGACATTGTTTAAAGCTATCTATTGACAATGCCCCTACTGTACTTGGTGACAGTGAGTTCCACTCTGCGATAGTTCTAGGAAAGAATGAATTCTTGAACACCTCAATCCTTGGTTGATAACTCTGGTACTTGAATGCGTGGCTATTTCTTGTTCTCTTCTGGGCTGGTATTAGGTACTTAGTAGTTGGGACATCCACCAGTTTATCAGTCATTTTGTACATCATGCATAGTCTAGACATCTTTCTTCTGTCTTCCAGTGAGGTCCACTGTAGGTTTCTTTTCATTTCCGTGACACTACCACCTCCTACATAGTTGTTCATAAAGAATCTTGCAGCTTGATTCTGTACCCTTTCCAATTTGTCATTGTCTTTCTTTGTATATGGATCCCATACTGTCGCAGCGTATTCTAGGTTCGGTCTTACAAGTGACGTGTATGCAATTGATTTTACTCTAGTTGGACATGCCCACAGATTACGTTTAATCACTCCCAATGTCTGCTTCGCCTTAGTTGTGATATTATTAATATGTGCACCCCACTTCAGTCCGCTTGTCAGCGTGACGTCCATTGATATTCTGGGAAGAAAAGTAACGCACACGACGTCGTTTTGACGTCATGTCGTCTTAAACTGAAAAGAAATGGCGGGAAGTTGTGGCAGTAGCTGGTCTCCGTTCTCAGGCGTTTAACACCTTGCAGCAGAGTAACCATATAATTTTACAACTTGCAATGACATTCAATTCCTTTAGAAGACTCCATACTTTGATATTCTAGTAAGAAAAGTAACGCACACGACGTCGTTTTGACGTCATGTCGTCTTAAACTGAAGAACATGGCGGGAAGTTGTACCGTAACTTGTCTCCACCTTCATGTGTTTAACACCTTGTAGCAGAGTAACTATATAAT